CTAATGCTAATGCTAGCCCTGATTGATGCGTAGAGACAACAGTACTTATGTGGCTCCTGTGCAGGATACTCAGTCAGTTCATGGCATCTCTCCTTAATAATGATGTCATCCGGAAAAGAGGAAAGCCTGAGGGCCAAGTCTGTTAGTGTAGAAGTGTGTGTTTGTGTGTGTGTGTGTGTGTGTGTGTCAGTGTGTGTGTTAGTGTGTGTTTGTGTGTGTGTGTGGCATTGTCCAGTTGTCAGAAAGTGTGACACTCTTCATTGTTTCCTATTTGTGCCGTTTTTTGAGAAGAGAGACGTGTGACAAAAAGAAAGCTATGCACAGAATTCATTAAAAAAAATTAAGAAATAAAGAAAAAAATAAAGATTCAGGGAATGAGCGATGCGAAAAGTCATTAAACGAGCATCCTCGCTCAGAAAAATGTAGGTTTCACTCTGCCTCTGCAACTCGGTGACTTCTATTTCTTCAAATAAATAAGAGAAAAGCCAGAAGTTATCAGTAGAGACACTGACAGGTGCCCAGCTGTCAGCCAATCAGAATCCATCATCTCTGGATTGTTTGGATGGATTCCATATCTTATAGTAGCCTTCTTTCATTTTTATTACTCCATCACGACTGTTTCCTCCTCCTCCAGATTAAAACAGCAGGTTCTGCTCCGATAAGGCCCCCCATGTCCGGGTTTCAGGTTTCTTTGGTTGTGGAAGATAAAGCTGTTGGTCTTTTTCCCTTTTTTGTGATGAAGCCACACAGTAATTCAGGCAGTCTGCAGCCTCCATAAAAAGCCGGAGCCAGAGGTTTATGAAAGAGCAATTATCCAAGTTAGTTAGGCTGAAAGCATAAAAGGACGGATGTCTTTCTGCCCCCTTTTTGAGACGATGTTTCCCTGGTGGTAGAACCTCCTGGATCAGGTTCCAGCTCCTGGTGTCTCACACAGATCAGGGGTCAGGGAAGAAAAGCAGACATGTGACATACAGGGGAGTGAAAGAGACCTGAAACAAGGGGATGTATCTTTCAAAATAAAACAGGAAATGACAAAACAACCATGGAGACGGTACAAAACACCCAAAAAAAAAGAAAAAACCCAGGCGTGACAGGATAGAGAAAATCAATAATGCTCTGACTTTGAGAGAGAACATGGAAAAAATTAAAACACCCACCCAAAAAGCAATTTGTAGACAAAATCCATCCCCCTCTCTTTCTTCAAAAAGACTTCCAGTACTCTGTCACACAGATTATCCTTAAACTTTAGTTCCATCAGGAAGTCCTTTTCTATTCAAGCTAACGCTGAAAGTCCAGCCCTCACCGTCAGATTTTGACTTGAATCGGTTAGCTTGCTAGCTTTAGCTGGTAGCTAACTGACTATCCAATCAGCAGGCAAAGGGCTAGAAGGCCCTGGTGTCACCAACCTAAAATCTGATTGGTTAAAGCAACAGTTTAATGGACAGAATTAGATTGTGAAGAATTAGATTGTGAAGGCCTCCAGGCAGACGTCTTTGACTTTGACTCTGCCTAGCAACAAGTGATGGCTGAAATGTGATTGGTTAAATGCTTTAATATGAAAATGCATGTCTGGAAGCAGCACAACCAGGAGAAAAGCTATTAAAGGAAGCAGACAGACCTTTTGGAAATATTTAATAAGTATTCATGGACAAATATAATTAACATCAGTCTGTGATTCAGATATTTTCTTAGGCCAGCAGAGAAGGCCCACCACTGTCCTAACCTCAAGTTAACCCTTTAAAGCCTGATCCAAGAAAAATAGGAAGAATATTGGATTTTTTTTAGTCTGACGTCTTTCTTTGGCCCCTCAACAACATATGAAGAAAAAAACAGACATCATTTTGATCAAATTAGCGTGCAATAAGTCAGAAATCTATGTTGGTGTAGTCTTCTACTGGCTGTTATCAGGTATATCTGAATGTGTACAACAGGGGTTTGAGCAAAGCTTTTACCACTGAATGATGCAGAAAGTCTCAGATCCGAAAGACTTCAGAAACAGGATGAATCAAATATAATATATTTGGCATTATAGGGTTAAAGAAGACGGTTGCCTGTTAGAGCTCTGTTTTTTCTGCCTTTCCAAACCCCAGAATACACAGGTTGGTGGTTTTTTTTTTATATAAATCGGCCTAAAACTGGTTTTATCTGGACTGGTTTGTCTTCTGTTGTGTCAGTGTGTTAATAAACCCTCCATGTTGCTTTATTTTAGCCAGAATAAAACAAAAATATCCTCCAGTTTGTTACTATTTTCTCACAACAGGGGGAATTAGGACCCTAGAAACCGTATCAAATATGACACATTTGTCATTATAGGGTTAAAAAGCAGCTCACTGAACATCTCCTTTTCTGAAAGTCCCGGTTTTGCTCCCTGACCACATGTATTCGTCCAGAAACAGCCCGGTGGCGTTTTGTGAGGAAGGTGGTTCTGTTTCCACTTCACCTTCCCGTTCCTCTGCATGTCACTCTGCCTCAGATCAATGTTTTTAAGGCTGCATGAAGCTCAGATGAAGTGTGTTTGGTGGGGTTGTGTACATGTGTCTGGTTGTGTTTCTCTGTGTGCCTGGACGTGTTTGTGGTGGCATGAGTTTATGATCAGATCAGGAAGTCAAACACTCCTCAGATATCCAGAGAGAGAGAGAGAGAGAGAGAGAGAGAGATTAACCCTTTAAAGCTTGATCCAAGAATAAAACAAAACAGAAAATTACTTTTTTTTGGTTTGAATTGCTTATTTGGCCTTTTAACAAAATATGTAAAAAGAAAAAACTGAAATACATTTTTAATATTAGTAATTTATTACTATGGGATAAGTCAAGATTATTTTTTATTTTTCTTTGTTTGGCCTTTTAACAAAATATGTAAAAAGAAAAAACTGAAATAAATTTGTAATATTAACCCTTTAAAGCTTGATCCAAGAATAAAAAAAAACAGAAAATTACTTTTTTTTTTGGTTTGAAGTCTTTATTTGGCCTTTTAACAAAATATGTAAAAACAAAAAAACAGAAATACATTTTTAATATTAATAATTTATTACTATGCGATAAGTAATGATTATTTTTTATTTTTCTTTGTTTGGCCTTTTAACAAAATATGTATAAAGAAAAAACAGAAATAAATTTGTATTATTAACCCTTTAAAGCCTGATCCAAGAATAAAATTACTCTTTTTTTGGTTTGAAGTCTTTATTTGGCCTTTTAACAGAAACACATTTTTAATATTAATAATTTATTACTATGCGATAAGTCCAGATTATTTTTTGTGTATCTTCTGCCCCCTGTTATCAGGTGTATCTGATTGTGTACAATAGGATTTTGAGCAAAGTTTTTACCATTAAATTATGCAAAAGGTGTCAGACGCAAAACATTTCTGAAACCGTATGAATCAGATATGATACATTTGGCTCCATATGAGGGAACCTTTACGGCCCGATTTGCGTATTATAACTGAGAAATAAAGTGGATTTAAAGAAAAGATCCGCTTCCTCTCACTTTCTCTCTCTCTCTACCATGTTTTCTGATGTATTTTGTGTCTGTCGGACGGTTTTTAGGATGCAGGAAGTGTGTTTTAGGAGCCTAAACCGAACCCTCGGCTCCTTTTTTTTGCTTTTTCTGCCCTAATTCTCAACTGTTAATACGACGCCTCTCTTATTTTCTTATTTACACTGTTTGAAGCTCATGTGTCTTTTGATCCTGTGAGTTTATCTCCACGTTATTCTTCATTTTTAACAGAGAGAGCTAACATTTTTTGCCTCTTTTTTTAAAAGTTTGTATTTTCTTGCTCGTAAACTCTCACAGGGCAGATTTCCGACTGTAAGCATGTGAAAAATGGACATTTTGCTCATGTCTGCCCAGTTTTTTCTTCAAAGAATGGCATTAAAACTATGATGATCACTGACAACTTTCTGATCTTTTTAGAGCATCTTTTGAGAAAAATTGTGTGTTCTTGATCACCTTGTTTTCCTCCATCTTCTCCTTCTTGGTCCCATAGGTCCCCTTACAAAGAAACACTCAGATGATTTAGGTGATAGTGACCGCACGGATGATGAAGGTATTTTTTCCCCGAAATGCCAATCGGGTTTGCATGACGAGGGAAACTAAACTTTCCTCCTTTCTCCCCCGATTTTTATCTTCTTTGATTTTCTTCCATTTCTTTTTTGTCCTTTTTTGAAAGTATTGGACATTTTCTTTTTGCTCTTTACTCGTAAAAATCTTTTTTGGGCTGGTGTGTTTTGTCCTTTTCAGCTTGATGTCTAAAGTTTTACATGTCTTCCACTATTCTTTCACATTAAAGACTGTAACATAGATTCTCTGCTTGGATTTGACTGTTTTCTCCACGTTTTCTTTTCTTTTCTATGTTGCATCCCACCGGCAGATAGAGTTCCTCAACCCTCAGTCGGCTCTAACCACATTTCTGCATGTTTTCCTTTTGATTTGCCTAAATGTGGTCATGTTTGGAGACATTAAAAGTGGCTCACTGGCTCACATGTTCTACTAACGCTTCACACTTTGGGCATCAAATCAGCGACCCCAGATGTGATAAATGCAAAAGAAATCCTGTCCACTATCCACCATTTCCACATCCGGAGGACTGTAAACAGCAGAGGGCAATTAGAAAAACATCTTTAAACAGATATGCTGCTGAGAAAAAGGAAAAACTGTGTTTGTGAATTTACAGATTTTGTGCAAAATATAGAAGAC